CAAAGTAGATTTGAAAAGACTAGAATGGAAGTTTTTTAAGAATAGAGACCTAGACCTGGGCCTAATGCCTGGTGGCATTCAATAAACGCTTGCTGAGTAACTGAATGAATACACTTCTCAAAGAATCAGGAAGAAGCCTGAATCTCCAAAAGGCCAGACTGTGTAGACTAAAGGACTCCTGTAGACTTGTCCCCTAAGGTGAACAAAGCTAAGCTCTGTGAACTCTTTTTACCTGCTCCCCTATGTATATTCCGTGCCTTCTGAGTCCTCATGGACACAAGGAGTTTCTGTTCACTCTGTAGCCTGATTGAAGAGTGCATTGCTGCTTGAGACTTATCAGGTTATCAGACACAAGCCAAAAGATGAACTTCAAAATGTGCCTTAAGCTCCAGAGTGGGCAGTAAAAGACTGATGTTCTCTGTGCCACTATATATAATCCTAAAGTTTTGTTTTAATTGTATTTTTTTAATACATAAGGCAGCTTTTTTTTTAAAAGATTTTTATTGGGGTATTGGGGGGATGGGAACAGTGCTGGGGAATTGGGGGAAGGGGAACAGACAAGTTGCTGTCGTTTTGTTCCTCAGTCTAGGTGTGGAGGACGTTGCTTCACTGGCCCAAGTTGGCACCATCATTGCGCTGTTCCCAGGTGAGGCAGATCAGTTGCCGGCTTCTGGATGGCTGCTCAGTCTCCGACTTCTGGATGGCTGCTCACTGCGGCTGCTGGCCGCTCACGCTGGCTGCTGGCTACATACAGTAGCTCATGGCAACCCACTGCAACCCACTGCCACAGGGGCTGCAGCCTACGCTGTCGCTGGCAACTCACGGCAGCCCAGCTCCAGGTCGAGCTGTTGTTCAGCATCTTAGCTGTGGAGGGCAGTGTCACTAGCCCTCATATGTGGGATCCGAACCGGGGCCCTCTGGTGTCCCAAGCCAGTTCTTAACCATCGTGCCACTCGGCCGGCCCAAGGCCGCTTTTTATAAGAAAGACTTCTAAGAGCCAAAACAAAATTTCAACAATAAAAATGCTAACATTAGAGGAAAGCAATGGAGCCCAACAGGAAATGTTTTTGGGTTCCCATGGTGACATTTGTTTCTGATTATATATACACAGTTGAGCCTTGAACAACTCCAGGGAGTTAGCAGGGCTGGCTACTTGCAAAGTTGAAAATCCATTTATAGCTTGTCAGCCCTCTGCCTATGTACACAGATTCCCGACCATGGATTGAAAATAAATGTTTTCAATCTGAGGTTGGTTGAATCTTGGAATGTGAAACCCAGGTATATGGAGGGCCGACTGTATATTTATTGAAAAACTATCCACATAGAAGTGAACCCGTGTAGTTCAAACTGGTGCTGTTCAAGGGTCAACTGTAATATTAAATACTTTTGTTTGAGTTTTTAAAAAAGGAAATAAGTCAGATTAATTTTCTTCCTAATTTGTAATATCCAAATGCATATTTTCTAGTTTCTACAGTCCTGATTATCAAAAATAAGAAACAGGTCTTTAAAATAAGACTTTAAGTTCCTGCCTATTTTAATTCCCTTTGTGGGCCTCAACACATTTTAATGGAAGATACCAAATAACTCTTATTCTTCTCCATACCTAGGCATACTTACTTTCCAATGACAAGTAGCCTGATATTTTATTTATACAATAGTCAATCATCTTTTCAAAGTACAGATAAGAAATAACAAAATTTGATATTTATTTCAATGCCCCTCAACTTCCCTTTAATAAAATGGGTATGGCAGTCTGATGTATGTTTTCCAATCCCACCCAGCAATTAACTTGATTCTGACACAATCTACCTAGAGATTTTGGGTCTTCGAAAAGTCATGATGCATGTTTGCAACAGATGGCACTAGTTCATTTTTGGAAGTACTAGAGTCATTTGCATCTACGTTATTGCTATGTCACTTGACAGCTGACAGTTCTAGCTTCATTCCAAAAACAAAAAAAATTGAGCGATTTAGTTGAGTTTATGAGATTTTATAACAACTTGAAGATGGAAGACCAAACTGCATTTTTGTCATATTTTACTGTTTTACTTCCATAAAGGGAAGAACACGCGTCAAGCTTGTGAAAAGTTGCATAAAGTTTATGGTGACAATGCTCTACAAGAACGTCAGTGCCAACGATGGTTCATGAAATTCCGTGCTGTTGATTTTGATCTCAATGACGCTCCTCAGCCAGGGAGGCCCACCGAGGTCAATGGTGACAAAACAAAGGCATTGATCGAGTCAAACCCACATTATATGACATGAGAGATTGCAGAAACATTGAACATCCACTATTCAAGCGTTCATGACCACCTGAAGAAGCTGGGATACGTAAGCAAGCTTGATATTTGGATTCCACATGAACTCAAACAAGTTCATTTGACGGCGTGTATAAACATCTGCAACATGCTCATTAAACGTGAAGAAAACGATCCTTTTTTGAAGCGACTGATAACTAGTGATGAGAAGTGGATTGAAAAACATAGACAAAATATGTCATGACTTTTCCGAAGACCCAATAGATCACAGATCTCACAGGTTAAGGGCTCAGTCCACAAATTCCACTCCCCACCAACTCTAAATGCTAATCACAAGTCCAGGTCATTCATTACCTGTGCTTCTGATCAGTTGGCTATAAATTGAAGGTTCCCACACACCCTCTTCAGGTTCGATTAATTTACTAGAGTGGCTAACAGAACTCAGAGAAACCTTTACTTACTTTTACCAGTTTGTTATAAAGGATATGACAAAGAATACAGATGAACAGCCAGATGAAGAGGTACAGATGGTGAGGTATGTGGAAAGGGGCATAGAATTTCCTGACTCTTTCTGGGAGTGCCACTTTCCCTGAATCTCCACGTATTTACCAACCCAGAAGTTCTCAATACCCCAGTTGTTTCGGGTTTCTATAAAGGCTTCATTACAAAGGCAAGGTTGACTAAATCACTGACACTGTGCTGTATACCTGAAACTAATATAAAATACTATTGAATATCAACTATAATTTAATATATATTCAGTAATACCCTGGTTTGCGAGCATAATTCGTTCTGGAAACAAACTACTCGTATTGCAAGACATTCGTTTACTACGTTAAAATGTATTAGAAATGTTTGTTCGTCTTGCAGAACATTCACAAACCACGTTACTCGCAATCCAAGGTTTTACTGTGTGTGTGTGTATATATATATATATATATATATATATATACTATATATGTAGTCATGGGATGTAAAGTATAGCATAGGAAATACAGTATAGTCAATGGTATTGTAATAGCTATGTACAGTATCAGGTGGGTAGTAGACTTAGTGGGGTTATCACTTTGTGAGGGTTGTAAATATCTAATCATTATGTTTTGTTTTTTACTGGGGAACACTGTGTTTTTCCAGGACTCATCAACACCAAGTCAAGTAGTTGTTTCAATCTAGCAGCCCATGCAGGAATTGAACCGGCAACCTTGGTGTTGTGAACACTGCGCTCTAACCAGCTGAGCTAAGTGGCCGCCCCTCATTATGGTGTTTTGTACACCTGAAATTAATAAAAAAATAAATTTCATCTAAGCAAAAAAAAAAGCCACCTCATTAATAAAAGCACTTTTATCATTCTCACTTAGAAAATTCCAAGGTTTTAGGAGCTCTGTGCCAGAAATGGGGGAAATAGGGTGGGGATAGGTCCTCCCAGAAAAAAACAAATTACTAAATGCCAGCTGAAGACAAAGGACCAGTAAATCAAGATGAGACAGGAAACCAACCAGAACCCGCCAAGACGAAGATGGCGACAAGATTCATCTCCAAGTAACCTCCAGCCACATTATACGGTGATTATAGTACATCTCCATACTAAATGACACATCCCCTAGCACTATGACACTTCCAGAGAGGACGTATAAGGACAAGAAAGGGGTGTATCCCAAAATTCCTGGAAAACCCACCCCTTCTGAGAACTAGTAAGAATATTCCGCCCCCTTATTCCCATATTAAAAAGCCTAATAAATATCACTGCCATAGGCAGGGTCAGGGCTGTCTCTTGAATAAGAGCAGCCGCTACTCTGGCTGTGGATTGGACTACCTCACAATAAACCACTTTTGCTCTTTTGTCTGGCTCACACTTGAATTTTTTCCTGTGTAAAGCCAAGGACCCTCTTTCCTGCAACAATATCACAGGTAGTAAGACAAATAATTATAAATTGTGTCTCCCTTACTATTCACTGACAGCGAAATATTCTTACCCATGTATAGAAAACCTATACACAAAGGCAGACAGATGCATCACCAAAATGCTCCCAAGGTTCCAGCAACCAACCAACACACACCAGGAAAGCACTCAAAAGAGAGACAGAGACACAGACCTTCAGAGAGATATTAGAGAGGAGACAAAAGGAATAAAAGAAACACGTATCACTTGGAAAGGATGAACAGCTATTCAGGACAGGCAGCCAGCAGCACATCCCAGTACACCCCCAGTGCCAGGGAAGAACAAGGGGCTCACCCACAAGTGCATCTCTCTCTCACTCTCTCTCTCTCTCTCTGTCTCTCTCTCTCTCTCTCTCTCTCTCTGT